ACTGGGGATTCCTAATAAGGAAGAGGTAAGGAGGGGGGATGGAGGAGGGGGTGGGGGGAGTACAGAGTCGTCCATTTCCCAGTTTAGGGTGAGGTGGGGAGGGGTTCACTGGGAGGCGGCTAGCTCATTGAGATAAGAAACAGTGTAGACAAAGTAGTTTCAGTGTCTCAATGTTTCAGTACAAGACTCTTCCATGTTAGGTAAGATGGCTGTAAGTTCCTCCATATCCCGGAGATCATGAATTCTAGCAAATCAAAGAGCATTAGTGGGAGGGTCGGCACTCCTCCAGTAGATTGTAATACAGGTCTTAGCTGCATTTAGGAGTTGGATTGTCAGGGAGGATTTGTATTTTTTAATAGGTCTCACCATCAAGTGCAACAGACAGGTCCCCGGTTTGTCATGCAGATCCACAGCAGTGAGTTGTTTTGATAACTGAGGTCAAATCCCGCCAGAACGGCTGAATTCTTGGACATGTCCAAGAGATGTGGAGCATGGTCTCTCCTACTGAATGTGTTGGGGATCTGGGGAAATATACGGTGAAGCAAGTAGGGGACCCTGTAGCATCTGGTAAGGATCTTGTAACCAGTCTCCTTAACCTTTGTGGCCATAGAGGATTTTTGGCTGAAATTAAGAATTTTCTTCCTCTGACTAGAGGTGAGACTCAGACCAAGATCAGGTTCCCACTTTGTGAGAAAGGAGGGTATGTAGTCCTACCAGGATGTGTTAGAATGGCATTAAGCTAGGAGAGAGAATGGCGCGCTGGTTCCCCTCTATGGTACAAGGATTAAAATCCAGTAAGCTAGTGGTTAAAACCTGGAGAGAGAGCGCCAGTGATGGAAGTGGTACAGCTGGAGGATGCCCCAGAAATCCAGGGGGATGGCAGCTAGATGAGTGAGATCCGCAGTGATTAACTGCGCCTCTGATGTTAGAAAATCCAATGGATGAGTAACTTTAGGTGTAAAGGCGGTAGAATTGCCACTTATGGAGGTCAGGATTAGGTTGTCCATGATCGGAATCATGGACATGGGGAGCAGAGAAACCATTGAACTGTGGAACGTTTCCCATGCAACCCGGAAGGTACTGCCAAGGGTGAGGTGCTTACACAGATACTTGGGTATCGGGGATGCAATCCAGGGCCAACTGCAGTCCTCTAACTCCATAGAGACCCAGAGTTTCGCCTCCATGGCAGTGCCAATCAATTATTCTAGTAAGATGCACTACCCTATAGTAAGTTTGAATATCAGGAAGGGCCAGTCTTCCAGATGACTTAGGCAAGGAGAGGCTCTGTCATTTCTGACGTGATATCTTATGGGACCAGATAAAGTTACAAAACTGGGAGCAGATATTCTGGAAAAAGGAAGAAGGCAAATATAAGGGAAGAACTTGTAGCAAATAAGGAATTCGAGGAATCTCTGTCATTTTGATGGCATTGCAGCAGCCGAACCAGGTCAGCGTCAGGGAGTGCCATGTAGTAAGTTTAAGAAGCGGTTCAAAATTTGCCGAATAAAGTTTAGATGGATCTGGGGTAATGTTCGTCCCTAAATATCTGATCACACTGGAAGCCCATTTGAAAGGAAAAGAGGGCCTCCAACTACAAATTCTCTCTGAATCCGTAGAGACGTTTAGAGCAGATGACTTGCCCAGATTCATTTTGAAATGTGACAGCGCCCTGTATTCCTTAAGAGACTTTAGGAGATTTGGTAGAGAAGTAAGTAGGTCTGTGACAAAAAAGATCAAATCATCGGCAAAGACCGCCACCTTATGCATCCTGGAGGACTTTTAGTAACCAGTTATGTTGGATGTGGACTTACATTTTACCCCACCGAAGAGCATTAATCCTCTGAAAATACGTAAAGGATCAGTTCACCTTTTAACAAAAAATAATAGATGCACATTTTGTGAAAAGTCTTTCAGAGGGATGCAGCACTCTTGAAATTGCTAAGATATTGGGGCTTGATCACAGAACCATCAAACGTTTTGTTGCAAATAGTCAACAGGATCGCAAGAAATGTGTCGAGAAAAAAAGATGTAAATTATCTGCCAAAGATTTGAGAAAAATCAAATGTGAAGCGACCAGGAAACCATTATCTTCCAGTGCTTCTCACATTCCAGAACTGCAACCAACCTGGAGTGCCCAGTACAAGGTGTTCAATGCTCCTGAGACATGGCTAATGTAAGGGAGGCTGAAACTCAACTACCACTGAACAAGACACATAAGTTGAAATGTCAACAATGGGCCAAGAAATATCTGAAGACAGATTTTTCAAAGGTTTTATGGACTGATGAGATGAGTGACTCTTGACGGAGCAGATGGATGGGCCCCTGGCTGGATCAGTAACGGGCACAGAGTTCCACTTCGACTCAGATGCCAGCAAGGTGGAGGTGGGGTACTAGCATGGGCTGGTATTAATAAAGATAAGCTAGTTGGACCTTTTCTGGTTGAAGATGGACTCAAAATCAACTCCCAAACCTACTGACAGTTTTTAGAAGACATTTTCTTCAAGCAGTGGTACAGGAAAAAGTCTGCATCTTTCATGAAGACCATGATATTTATGCAGGACAATGCTCCAGCGCATGCATCGAAGTACTCCTTTGCGTGGTTAGTCAGTAAAGGCCTTAAAGACGAAAGAATAATGACATGGCCCTCCTCTTCACCTGACCTAAACCCTATTGCGAACTTATGGGCCTTCTTAAATGGGAGATCTATGGTGAAAGGAAACAATACACCTCTCTGAACAGTGTCTAGGAGGCTGTGGTTGCTGCTGCACAAAAAGTTGATAATCAACAGATCAAGAAACTGACAGACTCCATGAATGGAAGACTTATTTTTTATATATTTATTTGTAAATATTGAGTTATTTATTATTCTCACTTTTTAACAGATGAAAATAAACAAGTGAGATGGGAAAATGTTTGGTTTTCTTTTTAGTTGCATAGTAATTTTTCACACTAATAGTTGCCCAATAATTGTGCATACATAGATATTCTCCTAAGAAAGCCAAAACCTCACTTTTACTTTCTTAAATATTCAAGTTTGAGGTTTATTAACATTTTGATTGACTGAGAGCACTGCAGTTGTTTAATAATCAAATTAATCCTCAAAAATACAACTTGCCTAATAATTGTGCACACAGTGCATAAGACACACGGTGTGTGTCTCAGCCCCGCATCCTGCTCCCTCCACACTAACTGTGATTGACAGCAGCAGGAGCCAATGGGGGAGAGAGACCCGGGAGACCCACTGCTCCCCTGCACAGTGCTGGATCGAGATTAGGCTCTAGTAAGTGTTAGGGGAGAGGGGCTGTGGGGGGAGCAGCACACAGAAGGTTCTTTACCTTCATGCATGAAGGTACAAAACCTTTTCGCCTTTATAACCACTTTAAGGTTATTCTATTATTTTAAATTGTTCTGTCCTTTTAATTAAATGGGTAGGTCCAAATTTTATTTTACATTCTGACAATTACATCATGAAATGGGATATATTTGAAGACCTCGATAGCAGGTAAGTTTTTTTTATTAGGCTTTAAATTCTTTTGAAATGAAAATTCCATAATAGATTGCAAGTGTCGAGTTATATGTGGCGTTATACAGTATATGTTACTGTATATAATATAGTAGTAAAAAATATATGGAATTAGGGTAATCTACATTGTTTTCAGTAGTTAAGTCACAATCCTAAATTGGTTGTACAGATTTTCAGCCCCCTTGACTTTGTAAGTGATGCTTGAAGTTAACCATATTTGTGTGATTGCAGCACAAAAGATCCATGTGCAGAAACCCAGTGTTCTCACAGATGGTGGTTTTGGAGCAGAGAAACAATCCCTATACCTCAATCAGAATTTGGCATATGTCAGATGGTATACCTGTCCGTTTCTGATCAACCATGACAACCAGACAATTCATATGATATTCAGACTACAATCCATAGCAAATGAGCTGCGTTTGTCTATGGAACCCGGGGGAGAAAGCCTGCATGAGTGACCTCATAGCAAGCGGCTTGCTGTGGTGGGCATTTGGTAGGGGGGAAGATCCAAGAGCGTGCAGGGGACCACAGAAGAGGAAGATTGGGGCTGCTCTGTGCAAATCCATTGCAGAGAGCAGGTAAGTTGTGTTTTTTTTTTTTTTTTGTTTTTTTTTTAAATGTGATCCTTTTAATCAGAATACAGACAGAGCCTTAAAAAGCTCACTGAGTATATTTCCTGAAGCCCATGCTGTATAGCAACATGCTTCCTTTATCACCAGCCATATTCAAACATCCAAAACAGCTTTGAATCTATTTGGTGTTAACAATTCTTATCAGTGATCTTGCGAGAGACAGGAAGGAATATACAGTGGCCAAATTTCTCAGAATTTTAAGAAGCAGAGCTTCTTAAATCATTAGAATGAAAAGAAAAAAAAAACTGAGTGGACTGCTGTACTGTAATACCTGCATGAATTTGACTTGATTGGCCAGTTATGAGTAGTAAGCTTAGTGTCTCATCATTAGAATTTTATGTCAGTCTTTTGTTTAGTAACATTTAATGTGAAGTGAAATTATAGGCCAGCAAAGGATATTTCTTTATTTGACTTCTGAATGTGTTTATTCACAGGACTGGATGGGAACATTGCCCCGATTTTCTCTTTTAATTAAATTGTTTTTATGGCTCAATCAATTTATTATTTCTTGGCAAGTTCGTAATGTGATGGGCTCCCTGTCTTGTTTATTGCAACCATGATGAATTTGCTTTGTTATTTGGGCTTTGAGTTACGTGTGCAGGAAATTGACCTTGTGTGCATCACGCTTCAGCAAACATGCAGGATTCAAAGGAAAGAGTTTTGTTAAATGGATTCTGTTATGGTAGTATGTGCTACTGTTGACATTTACAAAACCGGAAACTAAAAGTGGATTGGGAATTTATATTTATAAATTCTATTTTTCTGTTTCCATAGTGAAATATGAAGAACTGTATGCATTTTCCTACAATCCCAAGTCTGATCAAGACGAGCGGCTTATGGATTGGAAGCTAATCGACCTGAAAATGGAATACACGCGTATGGGAATTCCTAATGATTACTGGGTGTTTAGTGATCTCAATGTAGACTTTAAGGTTTGTATCTTAACCATTTTGTTAATTGGAAGATTTATTGCTGTATTAACTTCAACGTGACCATGTAAGAAACCTTGACAGGTAGCACTAAGGGAACATAATGCTTGTTGCTGAAGATTTCAAAGCATATCAAGAGATATTTATTAGTGGGAGAGCAAGGCAAGGCAATATCGCTTTGTTTCCAGCTTGGATCTAGTCTGTCTTTGTAACCAGTGACCAAACAGTTACGTATGATAAAATATCTGACTTGGGCAATGTTTTTAGCCTTGGCTTCTAAACACTAGCCCAAAAGATTATCTGCTTTGGCAAGAATGTGCCAAAGCATATTATAAGAGTAAACCAGCTCCCCAAAAGCCCTAAAGTGTTACTAAGTTAAAATAACATGTATAACAATATGTTATCCTCAACAGCTCTGTGCAATGGTACTGCACAAAGTAGCCTTGATCCTCCTTTTCTCGTTTTTCCTGCTGGGTATCTTGGCTTCTCCTCTTTTTAGTGTGTTCCCATAGCAAGCCGTTTGCTATGGAGGCGCATGGTGTCTGTTTGCTCCTGCGCTGTGTGTCTGTGGAACCATGCTCCATAGACTCGCATAGCCGGGCATAGCACCAACCCCCACTTCCTCCTCACTGCATTTGATTCACAGCAGCAGGAGCTTGAGTCCTGTGTGAAGAGGAAGAGAGGGGAGAAGAGATGCAGCCATGCACAGTGCACAGGGAAGGGGGAGGACAGAGAAATATAAAATGTTTTTTTACCTTAATGAAACAGGCTTGGCTGAGAGCAGCTGGAGCCATTGGGTCATGTCATGCTGCTCTCGGTCTAAACCTGTAAGTGGGGGGAGGAGGCTGAGCTGGGCTGGGCTGTGTGGCTGAATAGATGCAAACAGCCCGGCTCAGTAGTGAGCCCGCACGAATTCCCCCCCATAGGAATAAAAAGGTGTAAATGTGATAAGGGGGCACCAATCCAATTATAATCAAAATTAAATATGATGCAGCTACCCCTTTAAGTGTAAATAACACTAAAGAAATCTAAAACGATGTAAAGGTAGGTTTATGGACAATATTTGAATTTTTTCGTTGGATAATAAGCAATGATTATTTTTCACAGTTCGTTTGTTTATTATTTATTTAAAGGAGTCATTTGTATCACATTTATTGGTATGAGTAGCACCTTTTTTTGTAACTCTGGTTACATATATAATGTTTGTCTGCACTAAAGTGGTGGCTTCTCTTGATTCTATTATTACCAGGTTGGTGCCCCTTTTTCACATATTAATTTTTTAATAATAACATCCAGCAGCAAATGTCCACATGAATCATAAATCAAATGGCAAAAAGTCCATAACATATATAAAATATATTTTTCCGACCACCATGCCTTTAAGTGCCAGTGTGAAGTCATTCTTCCTTAATTCCAGCAAAGTGCTCCATCACGTGCAGTAAAAATGCTCCCTCACCAGCCATATATGACCATTAAAAGCCTGTTATACTCTACAGGTGGGACCAAAAGTGAAGATGGGATGTATCCATAATCACAATGAACTTCAGTATACTTACTCTCTCATTCTCCAAGAAAGTCACAAGCCCAATACAGTGATATATTCATAGTGCAGTATGTTTATTAAAATAAGGAACAAACAGTAGAAAAGATATATACAATCACACTTAAAAAGGTGCCTGAGAAGCACCATCACAAATAGCCTTTGACAGTAACTGTGCACCGCTGCTTGCAATTGCCGTGACATCAAGGACTAACTGGAAGTAGTGACAGCAGTGCAGCCTCAATGCATTTTCATTCCATGCATCCTCAGGAAGCTTACGGGGGGGGGGGGGGGGGGTGATGATGTATCCTGGAAGCCAGTCCTTCTTGCTTCTCTGTTGCTTTTCCTATAATCTTATGTGGGAAGTTAATTCTCGCTCCCCATGTCTCGCCTTGAAGGCATGTCAAACCATTTTTGCTTTGCCTTATGGGTGGGGTCAGGACTGTTATCTATGACTGGATAGAGAAAAACAAACAGAGGGCGCACCTGCCTAGTGCATTACCTTAAAAGTATGTATTTTACATTCAATAAACATACTTTTAAGGTAATGCACTAGGCCGGTGCGCCCACGGTTTGTTTTTCTCTATTCAGTATATTTGGACTCCCCCCGGTCCTTTTGAGGGCAGCAAGGCATGCATATCCCAAGAATTTCGTTGTGTGGTCCCACTGACATTGAGTCCATCCCTAAGCGCAGTAGTATCTGGGTTTTCCACTTCTACACTACTGTGACTATCTGCCTCCTCTTCCCTTGTGAACTGACCACTATTGTGTTTTCCCAAAGGGCGGTACCTCTGTGGGATTCCTTTTTCCTATTCTACCCTTCCCTGCCCGAGTCCGTTCTCTCAAAGGTGTCTGGGTTCGTGGCATTTTTTTAGCTTCAAGCATTTGTTTATTTTTCCAGGTTGCGGGACCACCACCTGATCCTTTGTTTATGTTTCCATAATGTTGCCATGTGGCTATTCAGACCTTTGCTGATGTATTATTTGGCCAACTGTCTGTTTAGGCCTGTTGCTGCTATTTTGTTGTTTACCCGTCAACTTGGGGACATCCTATGGTCTAAAAATCAATTCTTGTGTGATTTAAGATAATTGTAATTTTGACGTACATATAAATTCTACAGTATAGGACACAGATCCCTCCCTCTTTCTTTTGTGAACTCCTTACTGCTTGCTAACAGACAGGAGCCTTCATGGATCTGGTGGGGTTATATGCATGCACTGAGGGCTGTCTCAGCAAAGATTTTGCCAGTGTCCATTTATCTGAAGGTAGTGGCATATAACATATAGTCTAAGAATCCATTACAGAGTCTTGTACTGTACTCCAAGGTATGAAATTTACAGGTATGTAAAAATTTCTGTTTTTACATATTCACAGTATTTTGTTCCAACATGTTTTTTTTTTCATTTGTGATTTTGTGTTAGAATTCTCTGCGTTATTGAAAGCTTGTATTTTCTCTAGTATTAGTAGATCCATACATGTAACTTCTGCTTCCTTTTTTAGGTTTGTAGTACTTACCCAACTTGTCTGGTTGTGCCTAAAGAAGCCTCTGAAGCTACAATCATTGGAAGCTCAAAGTTCAGAAGTAGGGAACGGTTTCCCGTGTTGTCTTACTATTACAAAGAAAACAATGTGAGTCACATGCACTGAAAATATTGTGACACATAGATATGCACATGATAGAAAGGGAAGAATAGATTTCCTGATCCTGACAAAACAGGAAGCTGATATGAGTTATCAGTATTGCTTTGTGCAGAAATGAAACAGTGACAGTGAAATTGTGCTAAATGTAGAGAGTAACTCCACCGAAGTGCATTTTTTTTCACCCAGGGTGTGGCTTTGAAGTGTTGATAACTTAGGCAAATGCCTAGCTTCTGTAAGTGGCCTATGAATTCCCCATATATTATTATGTCATTTTTCTACAATGTACTGGGAGCTCTACAGGAATCTCTTTTGAAAGGGGATGATGTACAGCACATCACAGAACATCAGCCGTGTTCTGAGTTCCTTTAGTGTGACAGCTTGTGCTTCTAGTCCAAGCAAATATGAGCTATAGACATGACAGGACACGTATTTCATTTTGCACGTTTTCTTCTGTAGCTCCAGATCAGCTGATGCATCTGCACACACACATTGTACACAGTACCTATGTGTTTTAGGCTTTAAAGGTGAACATTATGTGCGTTTTCAGAAACCATGGCAAAAACGTGGTATAGTAGAAAGTCTGTGGGACTGCTGGTAAATATTGAAGATACAGCTGTGCTGTGGACAAATTGTAGCACACCAGTGTGAATCCGGCCTAAAGAGTGACGATGTGGATGAGAGGAGAGAGCGGAGCAATAACGCATCTGGTTTTCTGCCCTTTCATTGTCCAGTCAGCAGGCTGGGGGCATGTGCTTGTCCGAGGTGTTTTGCTGCTACAGATCATGTCTAGTATCTGACTCTCTGGCAGAGGTGTGTGGATCAAAGTGCTGGCTGATCAAAATGACAAATCCTTTAGCAAGTATATTTTTATTATAATTACTCAATTTTGCTTTATTTGCATTCAAATTGAGCAGTGCAAACCTAATTTCACATTGCTCAGTTTGAATCATCGGAGACTGTCCTATTTCCTGCAGGTATTGCTGCAGGAGAAGAGGCAGCTATTTTCCACTGCGTGACATATGAAGGATAGGCAGCAGTTAACCGAGGAAGAGTGCTGACTAATTGTTGTTACTGTCGGTGCTACAAGGTATTCTCCATCCCAAATGCTTTCATAGCTCTCCCTCCTAAGCAATATGTAATCTGCAGGCCTGCTAAATGTACTGGTAAAATGATCCTGTCATTATTTTAAAGTGCTGTTACCTGAAAAAAAATAAAAAGGCAGTATTACCGATGTTTTCCAGTACCTCTGTGCCAGCCATGGCTCTGTTCACTAGAACTGGCCCCTCAAAGTTCACTGGGAAACTGACACTTTCAGAAGTGTCAGTCTCCGTGGTTCCCTGCAGCTCTGTCTGGGTCCAGCCTATGACTTCACATCTCTGGGGGAGAGTCATAACATGAGATCAGAGAGCACCAAGGAAAATATTTGCTGCCTTGTTTTACAGGTAACACAGTACATTGTGAATGTACCATAAAAATAGTAAAAGTACAATAAAATCATCTCCTGGTCTGGCTGCCCTACTTTCTATTGCAAAAAATGCAGTCTAGGAGGATGGTTCACTGCAAAGGCTTTAGCTGGTAATGTGATGTAGTCATATGACACTGGGAGATTAGCTTTGCAGGTGTTACACAGGAAAGTACTATGGTGTCAGTCAGTGGATAGATTTTAAATTCTGATAGTTGGCTAGATTTAAGAGACTCATGTGGGAGCATCAGGAGAGTTATCTTAGGGTTAGATATATTCTCTGCAAAAGTGGCCAGTTTATGTGCTGTATCATACGCCTGCCTGCAACTTCATTATTGCGGCATAATGTGAACAGGAGGAGTTCCAGAGAGATAACCAAGAGCATAAGAAACAATCGGCAGTCTTGTCTGATACCATTACTTAGGTCAAAGAGAGGTGAAGTTATCCCACTAATACTAACTCAAGCAGTCAGTTGTTCATGTAAGACCATGATCCTGGATGGCATGTTGAGGTTCAAGCCTATGCATTGCAATGACATGAGCAGAAAGGACCAGTCTACAAACGTTGAACGCCTTTTCTGCATCAGTAGATAGACGTAAGGAAGGGTGTTTGTTTTGAAGCTAGGCGTAGTTTGTAAGTAGAATTGATTGTAGAAAGTTATCTTGCACTTCTCCTCCTTGAATAAAGCCCACTTGGTCTGGACTGATTCAAGAGGCTAGGAGCATTTTAGGCACGGGGATCTTAGCATATACAGTTTTTTTTTTGTGATGATGCTGATCTGGTAAATTGTAACTTTGGCAAATGAGTGGGTCTTTCCATTCCTTTTGAAAAAAAAATGTGATGTGTACTAGTTTAGATTCTTGGAGAAAGCGGAATTCCATGGTTGACGGTTTTGGTTTAAGGAAGTGGGACAACAAAGTCTGTTCAAGTAGTTTGTAGTATTTGATCATATAGCCATCTGGGCCTGGACTTTTTCCATTAGGCATGCTCCAGATCTCTTTCTGAAATTCCTCCCCATATATCTTTCTCCATGGCCTCGATCACATCAGAGGTGATCTTGGCACTTTATAATTGAGATGTCTGCTCACCTATTATGTGGTGCAGTGCAGAACTTACTGTGCTCAATGTTCTGAAGAGCCTGAAAGTTGTGGACAAAGGGTTTCTATTTCTAATGTGAGGAATATATGTTGTAGCTCCTTGGTGTCTTAGTGCTGTGACTAAGAATTTTCCATATCTATTTCCAGCCACATGGTAGTTCTGAATATCAATATAGAACTGTTTTAAAGAGAGTCTATATGTAATTGTTTTAAAGAGAGTCGAAGCTCTGTAAATTCAGAAAATGACTTTTAGCCAGACTTTTTTTTGTGTAGTGTTTCCAGTCTGGTAATACATTTACTAAAGTGTGTTTCTGAGTCCTAAGTTGATGTTTTAATTTTGAGCCTTGGGCTATTAGCTTGTCATGTATGTAGGGTTTATGTCTCCCAAATTAAAAGGGGAGATATATGGCTGTTCTGCTTTTATTTGGAAGAGGATTGAAGGTCCAGCATCAGAGTCTAGGAATATAGGGTTATTCAAGAGAATTTTGTTCAATCTCTACTTATAGGGTCTGTGTATTGGCATATTCATGCTGATTGGTGCACGATTTGAATCGTGACAGAAATGACCGAAGGGAAATGAAAAAATGGTTGTCGGATACCAGATCTGGTTTAGCATAGAAAGGATGTACAGCAGAGTATTAAGTGAAACCTTTTCATGGTGGGATGCAGAGTTCTCTATATATCTAAAAGCTGTGTATGGTGTATTTGATCATGTTTAATTTAGAATAAGCAGTTGAAGAATGACTGGTGTCTGTTAGAGGGTTTTAGGCATCATGCCAATAAAATAAGGCCTCAACAGCTTTTCTCTGCACGCTCTGTGCTGCCGGGCCGCATTTCCCTGCATTCTATTAAACTGATTAAGAGTAGAAATCAAGAAGCCCTTCTGGTGTTGATTGGGGCAAAGTTTGCTATGGTTACTTCTGTTTCCTCTATAGTCTATTTAAAAGAGACATTTTGGCCCTACTTCTGTAGGTGTTTGAATGCATGGTTCTTGGTCTTAGAGGTGATGGGGCACCGACGCTGCATCCACCTAGGCGAGTATGTAGGTTTCTTTGATTCAAAACCCGCACTTCTCTTTTAAGAAAGAGACAGCTTCCCTCAGCATCTTACAGTTTTCTGTCGGGCATAAGTAGAACCAAACTTGGGAAGCCCACTGCTACTCCACAAGATTTCTGTTTGGGAGAACTGAAAAAGCCATCTGGAAATGTGTCCCTTGAATGTAAAATATTTTCCCTTTTGAGGCATTCCATTTTTTGGAAAAATGTATGCCTCTTAGCTGGGAAAGGCTAAGTTTCTTGCATTATAAGATATAATCCTATGTTATGGTTATAGTGCAAGAAAATATGCAAAACACAGTAAGAAATATCAAAGCTATATCCAGTACAGAGTTTTTTTATGAAACAGAAGTAGCAAAATGTCTGAAGCTGTTAGCAAATAATTTTACCATAGCTGAAGTGCACTGCCCAAACAGGGAAAACAGGAGTGGAAGGCAAGGGAAAAACAAACAGGACAGGCCAGTGAAAAGGGTCATAGTTGCCACCATTGTTAAAGACAAGGTTCAAACGGTGTCCAGTGCAGTGGTTAAGATCTTGAAGAGCTCCTTCTTGGGTTACCAACCTCAGATCTAGGGCCCATTTGAGCGACCTATTGTCACACTGGTAGCATAGAGAAATCCAGTAGAACCAGATGATCAGATCATCATAGGACTGGTGAGACCTGAATATATAGTGTCATGCGAAAACCCTGAGTTCCTCAAGTTGATGCAGTATACAGTTCTTCCATTTATGGGTACGAAGATGAAAAAGAGAGATCGCCTGTGAAAAGTGGCTCACTCCTTGATTACAAAGCAGTAGGCTGCTTGGGAGCAGTGTTTTTTGGACTCTGTCAAGGTGGAGTTCAGTGGTGGAAGGTCTTTCCAGGACTGTATATAACCCTAACAGTGCTAGCTAGGTCAGGGTCTGTTGTAGTTTCAGGAAGATCTGCACAGATTGTTACCTATTTTCCTAATCATGTATTTTGAACGTGAGGGACCTAAGGTGGGTACTTTGTGTGTTTTATATTTTGCTGCAGTTACTGAATTGCCTGCACATATATTGCTTGAGTGTTTTCTTCATCTTCAGCTCTAGATATTAAAGGCTATAGATCCCTTTTCAATGAGAGATTTCAGATTATAGTGTCATTGTAAGGCATTGGATAGGTTTCGAGTAGAAGGAAATTACTGCTCTGGCCGACTTGCCTCCTTTTTCTCCCTAGAGTCAGATCCATATATAGAGAAGAGAAGTGCAGTGCTGCTATCTTCCCTCTCTGTTCTTCCTGGGAATGCTGCTTTGGGATCTGCTGTTTCTTGTCTCGGAGGCTGCTCTGGAACTGAGCCTGTTTGTCTTACCAAGCATTGGGATTCTGAAGTTTTATACACTACTGCCTTATTGTGCCCTTATGTGCTGCAGCTGTTGTGGTGTGGAGGTTCCCTTTATACCAGGCATCACTAAATGGTGGACTGCGGTCCAGATTCAGACCCAGTAACAGTCCGATCCGGAACGCAGTCTTGCGTTTTCCTCAGTGTCCTTTGCTTGCTGCTGCCTCCATCTTCCTGAAGGAGGGGCACAACATTAGAGGTGCAGCAGGTCTGTCCCTTTTATAACATCACAGCACTCCCTTCCTCCCCTCTCCCCACACATGTCCTACCTTATTTATACAAGGCAGGGTGTATGGCACGTCTGGATATAGGGTGGGACTTTTCAAATTAGGAAGCGGGTGATTGGTTGCTATGTAATGGGGCAGTCCAAGCAATCATTCACCCACCTTTAACATGAAATGTCCCTCCCTTTGTCCAGATCTGCCATGCCTCCTGTCTTGTTATGAAAGCGATAGGCGTTTGTAGTATGGAGGGAGGACTGTGATGGGGGGGGGGGTTGTGATTAGATCTGTGATTGGGGTGGGGGGGGGTCTGCGATGGTATTGTCTGTGATGGGGATGAGGGGTCTGTGATGCAGACACAATCTTGGCCATCATTCCTGTGATTCATAACGCCCATGTGCGAATGCAGCCTAAATGTCTTGTTTACATCTCTGCCTTTAAGACCATGAAAAGAATGGCTCTTTGTCTTTGTGTGGTGCCATTTTAAAATCCTGCTTGCAGTAATTTCAGTTTCCATCAAGCTTTCCTTCCACAGTAATGGTTCTGCATGTAAGCACAAAAGGTGAAATGGGGCTTTATGAAGTTGAGTTTTTTAGATCTAAGTACTTACAGGCAGATTCTTCAAATTCAGACTTCCTCCTTTAACAAAGTAATATGTAACTTCAGTTTGATTCCTTTGACTTGCAGCTGTTCCAGATGACTTGTCAGAGCAACTATACTATGCACTCTGCCTGTTTAAAGTTAATCATGAGCATTACATTTGAACATATTATCATAGTTAAACCAAGTTAGTTTTGCCTGTACAGGTTTTTTTTCTTTTCACAATCTAAATTTTTTTGCTAATAGTGGGGGTTATTTAATGAAACTGGAGAGTCCAAAATCTGGTGTAGCTCTGCATGGAAACCAATCAGCTTCCAGGTTTTAGATTTTATTTATTTCAGGTACGGATATAGTGCTGTCAATTTACACAGCGCTATCAAAATATATTGTACATTCACATCAGTCCCTAACCCTCAAGGAGCATACAATCCAAGGTCCCTAACTTACATTCATACATACACATACTAGGGGCAATTTAGACAGGATCCAATTAACCTACCAGCATGTCTTTGGAGTGTGGGAGGAAACCAGAGTACCTGGAGAAAACCCATGCAGGCACAGGGAGAACATGCAAACTCCAGGAAGGTGGTGCCGTGGTTGGGATTCAAACCAACGACACTAGTACTGCCAGGCGAAAGTGCTACCCATTTATTGCCAAGGCTTAATTGAACAAGCTGAAGTTAGAAGCTGATTGGCTACCAAGCTGCACCAGATTCTGAGTTTTAGTAAATCTAGGAAGTACTATATGCAAAAAATAAACAGTTGTTGGTTAACTAGCAAATATTTGATTATATAAAGGACTAAAATAAATGTTTCAATAACATACATCTGTGACTAGATGTGTGTTATTTTAAATTTTTAATATATGAATTGGCTGGGGTGTCTCTCCTTTTCTGTGACTGTTTTTTGTTTTGATTAAAAGAAAAGTATATTGGGTTGTCATTGTTTGTTTTTATGTTAAAGTAGTTTTTGAGAGACTTTAACATTTTATAAACTTTCCCTTTGATTTTTTTTGGTTTTAAATATTGAAGTTTACATATTAGTCACTAGAGAGAGAGGTCTTTGTGCAATTATTCTGCCTCTTTTCTCACCTGTTGAGATAAGCTATCAGACACACAGGAATGGCATTGTTTTCAACAATTACAAATTTGGTGTAGCATTGCAGTATAGAAAGCAGAGCCTGTATGCTGTGTTATGAGCAGGGGCGGACTGACCATTTGGAAACTCTGGCAGTGCCCGAGGGCCTGGGGTCAGTAGGGGGTCCCATGAGATGCCCCTGGTACCTTTTTCATAGGCTTTTTTTGAGTTTGGGCAAGGACACAGGGGCCCCATGATCTCCTATTGCCTGGGGGCCCCATGAGTTGTCAGTCCGCCCCTGGTTATGAGCAAACATTTGTGACCCTGATTATAACATTATAAAATTGAAAAGACTGCACATTTACATTTTTGCTTTTTCTCTCTTTTTCAGGCTGCAATTTGCCGATGTAGCCAGCCTCTCTCTGGCTTCAGTACTCGCTGTGTGGAAGATGAGAAGATGCTGGATATAATCAGTAAAGCCAACCCAGGAAGTCCCTTTATGTATGTTGTAGACACGAGGCCCAAGGTAGGATTTGTGTAGACTGTGTTGACGTTTGTGTCATTGTGATATTAGGAGAAACAGAACAGAGATGACCAAAATGAAGGGTCATTCATAAACTATAGCCTTGTCCCATGCAATTAAAAAATGTTAGTACAATATTACTGTTCGTTTTTGGGTTGTTTTCTAGTTATGCATCACTTCTACCCTTAATTTTTTTTTTTTTTTTTCAACAAATTCTGCATACGGTATTTTTGTTGATGACCAGAGGTATCCCCTTTTGTGAATAAGTAAAATTGATATTTTAGACAGAAAATAAAAATAGTGCACAGTAAAGTATATAATACTGTACGCAGTGGATATAGAAAAGGATCACTCCCTTTAAAATCACATTTTGTTGCTTTGAATGAAGTGAAGACACACAATTTTTGTTTTATCCATCTGTATTTACTCAATGCAACGTATTATTATTATACAGTGGCAACAGTTTGTGCAGCGCTTTACAACATGAACATCCAAGTGAAAGATATAACACCAACATGTTAGAAAAAAAAATTTAAGAATTCAAAAACAGAATCACCAAGTTAGAAAAAGGATCATCACTTTGTGTTTAGTGTTTTTGTTGAACCACCTTTTGCTTTAATTACAGCTTTTAGTCTGTTGGGATATGTCTCTACTGACTTTGCAATATTTGCCCACTCTTCTTTACAGAACTGCTCAAGTTCATTTATATTTGATTGTGACCGTTTATGGACTGCAGTCTTGAAGTCCTTCCACAGATTTTCAATAGGCTTTAGGTCTGGGCTTTGACTAGGCTATGCGAGGACATGTACCTTTCGCCTTCAACCACTGTGTATTTGCTGCGTGCTTTGGGTCATTGTCATGTTGGAAGGTAAATTTTCTTCCCATTTCTTCCCATTGACAACTTTCTGGCAGGGAGCAGCAGATTTTCTGCAAGAATTTAACAGTAATTTGCCCCATCCATTTTTCCTTCTATCCTGACATATGCTGCTGTCCCTGCTGCAGAGAACCCCCCCCCCCCCCCCCCATAACAGGATATTACCTCCACCATGTAGGAATGGTGTTATTCCTGAATGTAGGAATGGTGTTATTCCTGAATGTAGGAATGGTGTTATTGGTGAGCTGTATTGAATTTCGGCCAGACATATAGTTTAGTGCTGAGGCCAAATAATTTAATTTCAGTCTCATCTGACCATAATACCTTTTTCTATGCGACATCAGAATCTTCAATGCACGTTTTGGCAAGGCTCAGCGGTGACTGCATGTGGCCTTTCTTGAGCAGTGGCTTTTTTCTTGCAACCCTCCCATTACAAGCCACATTTGTGATACTGTCATATGCATACAATAACCACTTTTTGTCATAAATTCTGCAACTTCTTCAGAGTGGTGTAGACCTCTTGCTAACCTCTCTGACCAGTTGCCGCCTGGCCCTTTTATCCAGTTTGGGGTGCCGTACTGATCCAGAGAGGGTCTGTTTTGTACCAAATACCTTCCACTTCTTAATACTAGAATTCATTGTGCTTCCAGTCATTGATAATTCCAGGCATTTAATTTTTTTTTTTTTATCCATCTCCTGACTTGTGCCTGTCCACAACTTTTCCCCAGAGATCTTTTGACAGTGTCTTGCATCCCCTAGTAGTTTGTTTGCTTCAGTTGCACTAGCAGGGACTGAAATGCTCCAGGAAAGCTCTTTTCATGCTGAGCTAATCAAAATGACCACAGCTGATCACAGTTGAAAGGCTTTGTGTGCCGTTGAGAAGCTGATTAGCTACAACTTACTGAGTTTACAAGTAATTTTTAGGAGGGGTCGATCCTTTTTCCTGCTCAGTAATTCTATCTTTTACTTGGATGTTATAAGTTGCACTGAGTAAATAAAACAAAAACTGTGTCTGTCTTCTTTTCAGGCTGCAAAGCAACAAAATGTGATTCATTTAAAGGGTGATTCTTTTCTATACCCACTGTGTGTGGTTGGGTTTTTTTGGATTAACTTTATAGCCCGCCAATGAATGGTAAGTGGGAAACAGTCACACTCATGTGGCAGTATTATGGTCAAGCTATGATCATTTTTTTGTGCCCGGAGTTCATATTGTTAAGCCTCGTACACACGATGAAAATGTCAGACAAATGATCGTCTTTTTTTTTTTTTGCATGCTAGTCTCATATCGAAAATAAGTTACAAAAACTCTCATAAGACAGAATACAACATCTTGTGATAATGTATTGTATTTTCCTTCGTTCCGAGCATGTGCAGTCTTGGTCACTCAGTTGTTTACAGACAAATACTGTACTGATTAAATGAAAATCGTTTGTTCTGTTATCGTACGAGAACCGTTTTTGTTCTTGTCCCTTCAAATAATTTCTCGTGAACTGTCGTGATCGGCTCTTGTAAGCTGTGTGCTAATAATCAGATTATCGGACGATCGCTCCAAAAGCAGTATTTTTCATTCGATTTTCTCATCATACGTACTAGTCTTCAAAGTGCGTCAATTTGCAGTATTGTTACTGGCAGATATCACAAAGTGCTCCTGTCAAGAATGAGGACTGCTATTGTTGGCTGTATGGCTTCATTACTTTTGTATCAAAGACTCTGAGCAAGTATAAATAAATGAAAGTATGAGAGAGTCTGAATTCCTTATTCTTATTTACTTGTATTAGAGTCAGTGACTCAGATGTAATTAGTAGCTGTGTCATCTCTTCACCTGACCTGATTCAGGTCTATAAGCATTGCCAATTACGAGGAGATCGCACTCCTTGTCGAACATTTAATTTATTTTACATGAGCAGCGTGATCACTGCATTTCTGTGGCTTTGGGAGCTTCAGGAGCTTAGGAGGGGTAATCCCAGCACTGGGGCCATCAAGACATAAGAAGCCAGGGATCTTACTCACCAGTATACCTTTAGTCAGAATATCCCATAAAAAATATAATAGCAGTTTTTGCTACATTGTTAACTTTCAATTTGGAGCTGCCCACACAGTAACTCCTCTTCTCCAAAAGATTATACTCTTCTTCCGGGGTTGAATCATGGCCAAAAAAAAAATAGAGTTCCACTTTAAAGCAATAGAAAAACAGCAGCACCCTATATAAAAGCAACTTAATACTTCCTTTTTTTTGACAAGTGATAAGTACTTTGCTCTTTTGAATGCTATCTGGGTGTTTTTGATAGCGTTTCTCCAACTGGGCACTGTGATTGCTCCCATGACCCCTACATTACTACTGTAGATTGTATCTTCAAGAGGACGAAGATTTTAACACACTAGCTACTAGAAAAGTAAGTATTAAGCTGCTTATTTTGCAGAGTGCTGTCATTTTTTTTCTCTTTACTATGCCAACAGGGTTACTTTATTAGTATGCTTAGCAAGTCTGTGTGTTTGCACCAATTATTTGAATACTGAATTTTCTCAGATGACATTTTATCCAGCTCTGATAGAAGTAAAAGGTGCCTCTGTTTTATTTATGCAACGGTAAGAAGACAAAAAAAAGACTTGATTTAATTACTGGATAATATATTAACACACCAAATGGTAACATATTAGCCTTGCTTTCAGCCGTTGGCAGGCTTCTGTTCTTGCCTACACACATCTGCCGTAGTCTGTTCTTGTGAGCTAAGAATAGCTTTGCATAAACCCCTAAACTACAGACTTGTGTTATATACTGTATGTACTGTACAATTTCTTTATGTCTCTTGGCCTTATTTGATCTAGCGGTTCATTCAGATCTAATGCCTCAGCTACAATTCTGTAAGCACACTCATATACACTATAATGGTGGTCAGTACATCGACAACAAAACTATATGAGAACTGCACATTCCTTCAGAACAATTGTGTGGATCTTCTTATGGTGTATAATGTCTGTGGCTAGACTAAGGTTCATTTCATCATAAATAAATTAAACCTTTTAGCATGTGTTTGGTAGAGGGGACATTTAAGACTTCGGGCTCATGTACACTGCAGCTGATAAGCTCACGTTTAGGAGCTGTTCAGCGTTTTTTTTTCAGCAGCTCCTGAACTGTTTTCCTATGTGTCCATGTACACTGTCTTTTACAGTCGTTTACAGGCAGTTGTTTACAGTCGTTTTTTTTTAACTCAGAAAACTTGCGTTCAGCAGTAGATTTTATCAAAGTTTCAAACGCTTCTAAACGCGGTTAACACATTTATAAACATTTGAAAAATTTTTTTAACTCTTCCATTTCCAGATGCTGTCCACAGCCTTTTTTCATCAAGGTACTCAAATGGACAAAACACTGTACACAGGATATTCCTACCAAGCTTGTCACACACATTGTAATGACCAATTCACACCTCCGACCTCTCCCACCCTTGGAAACAAAAGATATATGTTAATGACCATTCACACCTCAAATTCCTCATGAAGACCCCCTGCCAGGTGGCCTTAATGACTCCACCAGACACCTTCCCACCCTTGGAAACAAAAGAAATGTTAATGAACAACTCACACCTAAGCTAATCTTAACACATACTGCTCTCTCTGCTTCTACTCTCTGTATTTCTCTGAAACAGTTTGAAATAGTTAATAATTTACCACTTTCCAGTGCATTCTGGGTATTTTGGAGGTTCTCCTGTACTTATCTTTAAAAAATGCTTTTAAACGCGGTATGCAAACATGTCAAAACTGAAGTTTTTTAACCTGCGTTTACCTGCTGTCAATTTCTGCTGTCAATTTCCAGTGTTCAAACGTGAGTTTATCAGTTGCAGTGTACATGAGCCCTTGTAGATGAGAACTGGACCAAAAACTGCTGCTACAAGTTAGAGGTGCATTGCAATGCCGAAACCTAGCTGGCAAAAACTATAGCAGTGGTAAAATATGGCTGTTGACTTTAAAAGCAATCGGGTTGCATTTAATTTTGTAACATGGTCTGGAAAGATAAAATCTGAAATTGTGTTACAAGCAACAGATATACTTTTTTCGTTTCTAAAATGACTTTCCTGACTCCAGGGCAGGGTTGAAGTCCACCATGTCAGAGAGATATCCATCTGGCTGGATAGATGCATAGAATGATCCCGAGGGAGGATTGTCCTGTGTGTCTAAGATAAGGTTTTTGCCTTATCTTCCAGTAATATCTTATTTTGCCATCCTTAAGACTTTTTTCTTCAGGGAGTTTCTGATACAAAACCCCCCTGAGTTGCTTTGGGATGTCAGCCTGATGTTCTCTGTACTTCAGATACCCCCCATCTTCCCCCATTCTTGTAAATAGGCTGTTTGTGTATCGCATAAGGATAACGAAGTCTTGGAACCAAGACCTTCCTATCTGTCTAGAAGGGTCTCTTTTCCAACTCAAGGATATTTAAGGATATTGTCCTCCCTTCTGTCTGTCCTGCTCCAAAGCACACCAAGCAGATTTACCTACCTTGCTTGGATGTGGTCAGGGCTGTCTGGATCTGCCTGCAGCCATGGCTTCTTTTCTCAAAGCTGAGCGGCTATTTGTCCTACCTGAAAGCTCTTGAAGATAACATCCTGCTTGCTGCTCCACTATTGCCAGGTGGATTAGACAACTTCCAAGGCATACACCCTTAATAAAAAAAAGATTCCTTATTTCCTGCCAGTGCTCATTTCACCAGTTTGCATTGTTGGTGTCTTTTGGACTTTCTAGCATTAAGCATATCTTTCCCTGATTTGCAAGGCTACCATCTAGTCCTCTGTTCACACGTTCTCTAGGTTTTGCCAGGTGAATGCTCAGGCCTGAGCAGACACAAGCTTTGGCTGCAAGCTATCCTCTAAGAAATTTTTGGTTTACTCAACCCTTGTTGTTTTTTTTTTTTTCGTGAGCTTGTATTCAGCCATCATTCCCTTTCCCCCAGTTTGCTATTTAGAGAGAGGCTTGTATTCAGTGCAAACAATACATTTTCTAAATTAAGAAGAATGAAGAGCCAATGACCCCTTTATCATCAGTGCACAAGCAGTGGAACTCGCAGCCAGAAGATCAAAGCTGACAGTGGAATGTGGCTTACTACAATGAAGATAACATCCCAGCAAGCCTCTGGATATAGTATACCAAAAATTCAACTGTAACTAAGCTGAACACTGCGCACGCACACGCACACACACAGTTTTTTTTTTCCCTTGTACTCAGCTTTAAGCTTGGACGATGTGTTAATTGTCTAACCAAATTTCAATTTGAACCCAACAGCTGAATGCAATGGCAAACAGGGCAGCAGGGAAGGGCTATGAAAATGAAGACAATTACCCCAACATTCATTTCCAGTTTATTGGGATTGAGAATATCCATGTGATGAGAGGAAGCCTGCAAAAACTCTTAGAGGGTATGCTTCTGCTTTTCTTTGTTTTTTTTTTTTTTTTCTGATCCTTATGCATGTATTAAAATAATGTTAACTCAGTTTAATGAGTGTTTGAAGAAACAGCTGATTTGTTGTCCATACCCAATCATATTCTTTGTTCATGTTTGCAATGTGATATGACATATTGGAAAGAAAATTTTGATTGAGACAAGGATGGAAAGTGTCCTCCCTTTCACTCTTCATCTTTTAAGCTCCTTCCTGGAAAGAGCGGAACCCTGGGAGGATTTTTGTCTGTTGAATGGAAGGGAACTGGGCCCAGTGGTCTTGGTAACGTTGAATGAAGGATGCCATTAAAGCCAGTCATAGATGGATCGAATCTTGGCTAGTTCAGCAGGGACAGGCCAAGATTCAATCCATCTAGGTGCAGGCTGGTTGTACCCTAGTAAACTTGGATAGAGCCAGCCTGTAGGATTTTTTACATGTAATTACTGCCAGCAGCTATAGCCTCTAGCAGTAATCCTGTTCTGCCAGTCGGGAAGGCTCTCCACTGGCAGATTGCAATAGCACTGCAGGAGGGATTGCCCCATCAACACTGTCTGTGTTGATGGCGGAATCGAGAGATTTTCTTTCCATCCACCCATGGTGGAAGGAAAGAAAATCAATTCGTCAATGGCTTGCCTTCTGCAAAGCACTCATCTGCAAAGGACTTAGTTGGTAGAAAACATGAATGAAAGTATAAAGTATATAACAGAGCTGAGGTTAGTTTGTACTTTTGCTCCATGTAACACAAATACTTTGCTTTCTAGGAGTGTGACTGAGCTTTGATAACAATCCAAAATAAATATATGTACAAAGTTATTGCAATGCAATAGTATTTTCTTGTTAGAGTCCATGATAGACAAAGAAAAATAAGACCTGTGCTTAGAGACTACAATGTGGATTAAAACATTTGCATAAAAAACAGTTTGAATCATAATTCTGTGAGTTAGCCTGCTTTGTCTAAACGTCACTAACTGATACCAGGTTGACTTTAATCTTCCATCAAGCTTAAATTTGTCATTAGTTTAGTTTTACCACATTAGATATATGGATTTATTTTGTAAAAAGTTGCAGTACATCATGGTAATCAACCATAATTCACTGTGCTCAGACCAGTACAGATAGATTGTGATTGGTTATTGGATTCTGAAGCTAAAGCTTATGAGGGCCTGCCTAAATGATCCAATGTGTATTTAAAGCAGAACTCCAGGGACTTGTGCTGTGTACAGACAAGATACTTCTGATGATGTTTATCCAAGGTCCGGATCACTGCTGTGTAAGGTAAAAATCATAGGTTTAGTTCATGAATATCTCAGTGCTTCAGGTATCAGAACTTTGAGCTCCCATCTGCTTGCACGTGTTTCTCCCTTGCCAGCTGAATCAGTGAGCCGTTGTTTTTTTTCACCAGTGACACGGGTTATTGGAATGTTTTCCACAATGAGGGAGCAACCCATACAAAGCAGGTGTTTGTCCTTCCTGTGTTTTCTAGCGATCCTGTCGCTAGCAAATTCTTACTTACAACATGTTTACTAGTGCGACATGGGCCTTAGAGTGACCTAAACGATTTAAACATATTGTTGCATAGATTTGACATTCATTTCTAAAATAATAAATTGAAATGTAGAAATCCTTGAGTAGCAAATGGTCAAAAGTTTGACGATACAAAGGTAAAATGGGCATGTTTTCTTAAGTATGTTTCTGTTCTGTTTTAGCTTGTGAACAGAAGAATCCATCCATGAGTAGTTTCCTTACCATCCTTGAGAACTCTGGCTGGTTACGGCATATTAAAGCTGTAATGGATGCTTCAGTTTTTTTAGCGAAAGTAAGTAAAATTACTTACCCCATGTTCTTGGGCTGTGTGTACATATTTTGAACTCATTTGTACTTACAAATTGCAGGTTTATGTTGTATGCACTAGCAGTACAATGAGAGGGAAACAAATGGGAAACTCTTGGGTCTTGTTTAACTTTTAAAGAATAAGTTCACTTTTGACCATAAATAATAAATGCCTACTTTTTTTGAAGGTAAAAAAAATGTGCCTTTATTATTTTTTTGTTGCAGGATCCTGTAAACAATTACTGATCATTGGTGCCATGCAGGTCTCCTGCAGACCTGTCAATATGTCTGCTTTTACGGGCAAGCACGGGATGTACAGGCAAGCAGATATACTGACAGGAAGATTCAGTGAACTACCACGGCGCTGTGGTAGTTCATTGAGAAATACAAGCCAACAGCCGCTAAGGCTGAAGAACACTGTGAATGAATGATGCAGCCGTGTGGGCAATCTTTTTGAAAAGTGAGAACTTTTACAGGGAACTTCTCCCCTATCACAGGGAGGGGGGAATCAGGCAACGGCTGTAGAATTGGTAACATGTTACATGTTTGTCTCCCCCCTACCCCCCCCCCCCCTACAAATGGGTGGAACATGTAACATGTTCCCAAAGGTGAGCATATCTTTTAACTGAACGCTACACAGTTTCTATAGAACTGTGAAAATAGAACAGCTAGAAATGGAACCACGTGAAGAGGGTAACTCCTGTTTTTATTTACATAGTGTTTTGCTGTGTGCATTAGCAGGTTATTAAATATATAGTGCAGCGCTGGTATATTAATTAAAAATGAACATAATTAGTACAGGTAAAATAGTTCATAAAGTCCTTCCACAGTAAAGTGATCATAGATATGTGAAGGTCTCCTCCTTATTAGGTGACTGGTATCAAACAAAAAATGCGCACTCACCGACCGCACATTTTAAATGCGCATGTGTACACTCTTATGCGGGTGACCAGCCAGGCATGCAGATCCTAAAGACACATAGACCATCCCTCTCAAATACTGACATCGGCCTTGGGTGCAGTGATATACCTCCAGGTACAGAGAGCCCTCTCGCTCCAAATGATAGGTAGGCAGGGGTCCCCCTCCTGGCTCCAGGTACCCCAGAAATGGTAGATGCAGATCTGAAACCCTCCAGCAAGAGGTCAAAGAAAAGAGGGAATGCCAATAGTGTAGTAGGTTCAAGAACTTTATTGGATCAACAGTAGTTAAGCCAGGGTTACATGTGCACACAAATACCATTAGCCATCAAGCAGACTGGTACATATGAAAGATAAAAACATGTACTAACCCGGCGAGGATCAGAGACCACCGGACCTCCTCGTGGTCCCAGTGGTCAGGAAGTCACACTTGCTACTGGCTCCTCCTGAGGCCTTTCGTGCTACAGCACTTCATCAGAGGGTTGGATGCCCTGCCTACCTATCATTTGGAGCGAGAGGGCTCTCTGTACCTGGAGGTATATCACTGCACCCAAGGCCGATGTCAGTATTTGAGAGGGATGGTCTATGTGTCTTTAGGATCTGCATGCCTGGCTGGTCACCCGCATAAGAGTGTACACATGCGCATTTAAAATGTGCGGTCAGTGAGTGCGCATTTTTTCTGTTTGATACCAGTCACCTAATAAGGAGGAGACCTTCACATATCTATGATCACTTTACTGTGGAAGGACTTTATGAACTATTTTACCTGTACTAATTATGTTCATTTTTAATTAATATACCAGCGCTGCACTATATATTTAATATTCTTGTTTAAGGTCCAGTGATTCCTTGGAGTGTTTCAGCAGCTGATTTTTGAGCGCTCGCTTTACTTTTATTGCATTAGCAGGTTACATTGTGTGATGAAAGCTTTGTGGATAGAAAAATATCCAGCCACTTCTCTTCTTGATTATATTTTTAATTGCAAGTGCAGGTTTTTAGGTGCAGAGGAATGTATGTTTTCTTTATTATGGCCTGCCCAGCACCATTATGTTCATAGTTGTGTATTGTACTCTTAACTGAAACTTGCACTGAAATATGTAGACTGTAATTGCTACGTATCTTCTAAGAATTTTAGCTGTCATGCTGATTTATTGTTTCAGGACTTTCAGTCACTGACTCAGCATGTGTATGCAGATCAGGTGTTCTGACTTCACTTGCTGCATACTTTTTCCAGGGCAGTGACTCATTAAATATTAAACCCAATAATAGCCAGACAATTAGCTATTCTTAGAAAAAAGGAGGATAGTGACAGCCCATATATACAGTAGTATAGACTTGTATACATGCTTATGCATGCACGGGGACTGGTGATAAAAAAATAATAATTGCATGTCTGTATGCATGAGGATGTCAGAATACAAAGCAATATGGATGTAAACTTTGGGCAGGACAGAGAAGTAAAAAATATATTTGTCTGCATTTTAGGTCAATACTTGTATTCATAACTTTGGCCCAGGGATTGAGCAAAGGTTACCGTGTTTTGTTTAGAACTATAGTTCCACGTTAAAGTGAATCTGTGCTTTGCCCATGCAGAGCGAAGCATTTGGTTCACTTAAATGCACACGTCCAGAGACGCATTTAGTTTCCTTCTTTTCCTTCCCTCTACTCAGTTCAGCATCCAAGAGTGAATGGAAAGTCCCAATGTAAGCTACGAGTCATGAGAAGTAGTTATACAGAGCTTTTCACCCCCCATGCTATGTCACCGATTGGCCGAGCACTGTAACAATGCTCTTCTATGCCCTGTTATTTCCTTTGGTACTTTGCACTATGTGGAGTACTTGGGTATCAATGGAAAGGCAAGCATATGCTGCTGGGAATATCACCTCTGTCTCTATAGACCATAAATCAATAACAAATTCAGCACAGCAATAAACATAATTATAGTGCTAACATATTAAATGTGCGTATATAAATAGTGAAAACAGAAACTGTGCCAGTGACAATCAATGTGTGCTTCACTGAATGTCTTACCAATGCATACACATAGGTGTGCCCATAGAACTGCACATAGCCAGTGTTGAAATTGAATAGTGCACACAAATACCAAATAAAATGTCCCTAATAGTGGACTTTCCCTTTAAATCTAAATATCTTCACGTGAAGTTGTGTGGTATATCTCCTTTAGATCGCGATCCAAATACACCAGCAGCGAGTGTCTTATAAATGTGGTCTCAAAAAATGGTGAACCGTCCCTTTAAATCTGCTGTACTTCAAGTGGACCAGTGTAAACACACTACTGCATTAACATATACGGTGCTCCTGTGTCACCCCTTAGTGCTCATCCACCTCCAACATTCTATTGTGCTCACCTCCAAGATTGACCCATAATGACAGGTCAAACTGCGCTTTTCCCTTTAACCCAGGAGGGTATACTGGTACACAGATCACCGTTAGCCAGCACTTTTAAATCTCTCCAGATCGCTTCACATCCATGTGAAAAGAATGCTCAATATAGTATAGTATTGCCAATAGCCTTTATTAAAATAATCTCGTAAACTCACATTTAAAAGTGTCGTCCTGGGACAATACAGGGTTAAAACTGATGAAGTAACATGACGTAACGTGATGGTCTTTAGAACGCCCTGTGGGTGGGGCGAAACGTGTTGACGCACTTCCGGCCCACCGTCATTCTGGTTAACGTCACGTCCGGTGTTTGGAACGCACGCCGGCTTATGCGGTTCAAGCGGCCATCTTGGAGGGGGAAGGCTGTTCATCCTCTGCAGTGACTATATAAGCGTGAGATCCCTATATCTACATTCTGGAAATTGGTTATCTTGAAGCCATTGAGGCTATTAAACAAGGCTTTTAATTTTATTTAAACATGTGAGTGGCCTTATTCTATCTTTATATTCTATATGGAGTGGCAGTATTACACTATGTAGTTTTTTTTTTTCTCTGCACACTATTGAGGAATCCATGGAGAAATAGAGTGGAGACGATTGCTATACCATAGCAGGGTGAAGAAGGAGATTTGAGTTCCTTTGGAGGGGATTATAGGATCCCTTATATCCTATAAGGCTCACTACTCACCTCCATCTGGTGAGTGCGGTCAACATTATTTCTCACGTGGTGGATAGGTGGAAGCACATTTGGAATATTTAAAAAATTTTTGATTTTATTATTGGTGTTGTTGGAATAAGGAGATATATATATATATATATATATATATATATATATATATATATATATATATATATATATATATATATATATATAACAATTCAATTTTAGCATTGGTTATGTGCAGTTCTATGGGCACACCTATGTGTATGCATTGGTAAGACATTTGGTGAAGCACACATGGATTGTCACTGGCACAGTTTCTGTTTTCACTATTTATATATGCACATTTAATATTTTAGTACTATATTTATGTTTATTGCTGCGCTGCCTTTTTTATTGATTTATGGTTTACATGTGGGAACACATTATATGCTAGCCGCACAATTTTTCTTAGGAGGTTTATTGCGCTGAGGGTTCTCTATACACATTTGTCTCTATAGACATTGTTGAGAAATGCAGCTTCAGTTAACATAGGAGGCACTGAAATTACAGTTCATTTCTCATTTACTTTTTGTTGAGTGCATAATATTGGCACTCAGCCAGCATTCTATTGTAGACAAACACCAATTGCTGCTAGAACCTCATATTAGAATCATTAATTACTTCACTTTACAAGTAACCTGGGAGGTCTGTTTTAAATATTTTTTTTTTACTGCTTATTAATGTGTAAAAATGTTAACATCCATAGTCTGGGCACAGGTGCACTTTAAGAATGACTTCCTTACCTACTGTCTTTTGGATTTGTGCCTCCTGTTATTTAGAGCAGCTTTTTTCAATTAGGGTGCTTCAGGTTTCTTCAGGGGTGCCTTGGCAAAATGCCTAAAAATGGCCCAGAAATTGTATACAAGCCAGCGGGTGGATCAAGCCTGCCTTTTAGTTACACAAAGCTAAAGGTTTTGCTTGTGCATCACTACAACTTTGTAGCCTGCTGGTGTCCTAACAACCATTGACGTCATGGCTTGATAAGGAGGACATCGGATGCACAGAATGCTTGTTTTCCCCTCCCCATCCGCACCAGATCACATTTAGCTTATTGAGGGAGAGAAACTGAGGATGAAGAGAAACAATGGAATACTAGTCAGTGTGAAAAGATGTATTGCCTTTGGAAGAATAAATCACCTAACATTGGATGTCCAACGAGTGTGGATGATGATGCATTGTGTAAAACTATTCATTTAGTTTTTTTTTTACATTTTACAATGGGTTGCTTTAAGATGATGTATCACTTTACAGGGTGCCTTGACTAAGAAAAGGTTGAGAAACACTGATTTTAGATGATAGAATTGTGATATTTTTATTTTAATGTAATAGCAAATAAATCCATGATATGTGGATAAACCACCCGCTTTATATGACTTTATCTACATGATGTGAAATCCATTGAGAAACAAAAAATAAGGGGGTTGTGACGTCATTTCCATGTATTACAAAGGTTTAAGATGAGATTCAACCTTGTTATTAAAATAGAAAAGAAAAAAACAAACACTAATTTTTTACCTTCTTCCTGGCAGGCAGTAAGGGATGATAATGCCAGTGTGTTGGTACACTGTTCAGATGGCTGGGATCGCACAGCACAAGTGTGTTCGCTCGCTAGCATACTCCTGGATCCATTTTACAGAACTATAAAAGGATTCATGGTGAGGACAAGTTATGAGCTCCAACTTGAATATGTTGAAATACAATGTAATGCTGGGGTTTCTTTTTCATTCATTGAGGGACACAGGAATTCAGTATATACTGCTACCTACAGGAGGATTTGGACATGGACAAACAAAAAAGCAGTGTCAGTCTGGTAAAACCCCTCCTACCTCCAGCATGCATTAGTCTTTTTCTAGTGTTTTAAGATAGTGCATGCTTTTTCTCTGCTGATATAAATTATTAATGTACCCATTTTTAAGCTATTTTTTCTTCAGGCAAGATTACTTTTTTCATATATCAATATTTATTTCAAGTTGCTTGAGCTGGTCTCTGTATGCAGCTATCCGGATCAGTATATCCTCAGAAATACATTTAGAGGCCTTATCTGGGCCACTGAACTGGATTATTGCTGCACCTTGTCTCTAAAGATTCCTTTTGTAAGAAGGCCTTGCAGGCTAAGCACATAGAGCTATCAAATTAGTAAGACCATTGGGTGTAATTTACAAATTCCTGATTTCTGCTTCACCTGTTGGGTGGAATGTCATGCATTCTGCACTCCCGTCATTCTGTGTTGAGGAACCCTCCCGCTGCTACTCTTTTTTGCAAATGGTTTATCCTCGATTGGTCCCTGCTGCCCACCTACAATCTACCTGTATACATACGGCCACTTGTACCTCTCCTGGTTCGTGATTACCCAAGTCATAGCCTTGTACCCTGAGCTATGTGTCATGCAGCACAACATGTCTGATTTTAGACATTAGAGGAATATTCCAGTGTACTGGGTACCTCCAGCTTATGATCCGTGAATGAGTCCGGTGATCTGTGTAGTGTACTTCCTGAATGGCTGGACACTGACGGCCTAGATCAGTGGTTGTCAACCTATGAGCTAAAGGAAATGAGGGTCTGGACATGCTTGATTTTTGGCTCAGGATATGTTACAGCAGACAGTACAAAACTGGGAACGTGTTACATGAGGCTAGTAGAGATCAATGATATTACCTCAATGTTTCCACTATAGACTGCTGAGGTCCAAGGGCTGCACATCAGAAATTGACAGGGAGCAAAATTTTCTCCCAATGTGGCAAATGTATTCATGTCAAAATGGGAGTCAGAACATATATTTAAAGAGAGACTACCCCAACTCAGATGTCACAAAAGTTTTATAGACTTGATTTTGCTTATATGGGAGGGAGATTTTTAGTTTAGGATAAAGAATAATAAGAACATCTACCTGTCATGGTAACAGCATATTACGTCTATTGAATTCTTGATTTGATTTGCTTGACTTGCCGAGATCTATGATTGGCAACATGCTTTGAAATATACTGAGATGCCGATGTGTTTGTTTTAAACTCTTGACTTCCGGAAGATTTACCCCTACGTGACAGGCCATTTTTTTAACTGCTTCACTTTAACTGACAATTGCATGGTTATGCAATTTGTTAATTTTTTTCTCACACAAAGAGCTTTCTTTTTGTGGTATATGGGGTTTTGCGCTATGAACAAAATAAAAGCTTGATAATTTTGAAAATAAAATTTTTTTTACAGTCTGCTGTAAAACATATTCAATAAAAAAAAAAGTTTTAAATCTTTCTTCATAAATATAGGCCAATGTGTATTCTGCTACATATTTTGTTAATAAAAAATTTAAAATAACCATATATTGATTGGTTTGTGGAATTTTAATTCATTTTTTTATACTAGTAATGGTAGCTATCAGCAACTTATAGTGGGACTGCGATATTGCGGAAGACAATCTGACACTAACTGACACTTTTGTGGGAACCAGTGATGCTAATCAGTGATCACTGCTAAAAATATACTCTGTCAGTATACTAATGATACTGGCTGGGAAGGTGTTAAACATCTAGGGCCATCAAACAGGTTTACTGTGTGCCTAGCCAGTGTTTATATGTACACAGTGTGGTGTTTTTTCTAAGGGATGTGCTGGATTTTATTCCCTGCTTTACAGGGAAACAAAATGCAGCACATCACCGCTGATGGGACACAGCTCTGCCTTGTTCTGTCTCTCTCCTCACCGATCACTGTGTGCCGGCAGTCATCCATTGGCTAGCACATGCTGATCAGCTTCTGCTGTGACTAATCACAGCATATGCAGCACGCCAAGAGCACGCACCCCGTCAACCAGGAAGTGCAAAATCACTTAAATATCTTGATTTTGCACAGCGTGGCTGCCCTATATTAGTACATCTGCTATAGGGCAGTCCTGAACTGGTTAAAATGTGAGTGCGATTTTATTGCTTTATTCAATTAAAAGGTATTCCATGAGCCCTATGGAGGCTTTTTGTATCCAACTATGAGCTACAGTGTACCTTGAGGTGCGGGTGGAGAAAGAAGCTGCCTGCTGATATGCTGTGTTTGACCTCTTCTAAAAACTGAGATCCATCCCAATAGGTGAGGGTACACCTGATCACTCTGGTGCATTGAGTGAAACACTAGCAAGTGGTTTTCCTTGACACAAAATTAAGTTTGCTTACATCTGCACTCTCAGCTGGGATTTAGCAGACTTTGTGATGTAGAATTTTTCATCATTTTTGGCTTGGCACAGGATTTTTATTTAAGGTTGTTGCACTAACCAGCTTATAGTGAGCTTTGCGTTTTTTCAGCACACGGTTATTTTAATATTTTGATTTTTTTAATATATGTTCTATGATTCAAGAAAATAACTTTTTTACAGTATTTCACATTGTAAAAATATAACTTTGTTTGTATGGAAGATTACATGTCAGAGAAAAAGGAGCATTGCACGATTATTTTATTTTGCTTGAGTTGGTGATTTCACAAGCGTGTTAGCAGCTCTGTATTAGAATACTGGTGACGTAGTGCAGGGAAAATGTTATACTTGTATATTTTTCCAAAAACTTGTTTTCTCTGGCAGTTTCTGCATTTTAACCTGCCTTGGCTGTCATGCTAGTTATTCAAACTCTAGCCAACTGGACAAAGGTTGAGAATGCATCCTGTCCCCTCCCAATCTGATCCTTTACTTGCAGCAGGTTTGGAGCTCGTGCCTGCAGCCCTAAGCTACTGTGTAGCTCTTCTTGCATGAAAGGAGGCATCCACCCCATCTTGGATCTAAAAGCCCTAAATATTTTCACTTGATCCCAGACATTTTGCATTGAATCAACTAGGTCTATTATTATCAGTCTTCATCAAGGAGACTTGATGGCCTCTGTGAACATCAAGGAAGCTTGATTACATGTTCCCCATATATTTCTATCACATCTGCAATGCAATTCTTTTGCTTTGCTGTGGGCACCCATTTGCAGAGGGCACCCTTTTTGTGGCCCTGTTATTTACAGTGCCTTGAAAAAGTATTCATACCCCTTGAAATTTCCCACATATTGTCATGTTACAACCATAAACGTAAATGTATTTTATTGGGATTTTATGTGATAGACCAACACAAAGTTTTTTTACAAATAAATATCTGAAAAGTGTGGTGTGCATTTGTATTCAGCCTCCCTGAGTCAATACTTTGTAGAACCACCTTTCGCTGCAGTTACAGCTGTAAGTCTTTTTGGATATGTCTCTACCAGCGTTGCACATCTAGAGAGTGATATTTTTGCCCATTCTTTGCAAAATAGCTCAAGCTCTGTCAGATTGGATGCAGAGCATCTGTGAACAGAAATTTTCAAGTCTTGCCACAGATTCTAAATTGGATTTAGGTCTGGGCATTAACTGGGTGAAGTGGTTAAGTAAATGTTGCCTTATTACCTTTTCCATTCTCATACCAGGTTACATTCCTTCTTTCCATCACCTCTGTGAGGTGAGAGTCTGAGCTCTCAGTCTTGTGTAAGACTAAAGCTTTTTGGTGCAAGGTGGTGTTTGTGTCCAGAATCTCCTTCTTACCATGGAAGTTCCAGCTTTTTAACCCATCTAGGACTTCATTCTTCTGTTTTTCTTTCCAGCTCCAGTACACCAGAAAGAGATCTCCCTCTGTTGTCTGAATATAATTTGTGCAGTGTGTATTTATCTTCCAGCTACTGCTTGAGGATGTCTGCCTGTCTTTGTCATTCCTGAAGATCCCTGAAAGGGGAACCAGCTTCTCATTACACCATTTTGCAGTGTCTGAGGCAGACCATTACCCAAGCTTATGGTCTCAAGAATTGGCTTCCGCCCTTACTCTACTAGATCTGTGAGCATGTCTTGGGCTTTTTGGCATCAGGCTAATGTTTCTCTGATAAACCTTTTATTTTTAAATGCATAATGGATGTCTACTCACAAACAACTGAGAACCACAAGCTCATCAAAATCATTCGAGGCATATATTGCTTGATCCACTGCACATGTGCCTAACCTTAGGAAGATTCCACCAGGATCTATCCAGCTTACGTGTTTCAAGAGGTAGCCCCTCTTCATCAGAGCATAAGCCTAATAGATCCAGGTGGTGACTTCCGGAGGTTAGGAGCATGTGCAGTGGATCGAGCAATATTGCCTTTAGTGATTTTGAAGAGCTGGTAGTTCACAGTTGTTTGGGAGTGTACAGCCATCATGTTTTAAACAGTAAATGGTTTATTAAGGTAATGTGCTAGGCTGGTGTCCCCTCTCTTTTTTGCTTTTGTAGTGCTATGATATTGGGGCATCACCAGTCCTAAGTGGACAGCAAAGTGTGGCAATCTTTTTGCACACTTTGAGAAGTAGATAAATTAAAAGCATCGGGGTCCAAACATCAGACTGTGTGGGAGGTTGTTCTTACTGTTTCTTTGATTTGCAAAGCTGCCATCTGGTCTTTTGTTCACATGTTTTCCACGTTCTTCCTGGTGGATTCTCATGCCAGCAAGGTCCTTCAGGTGACCCTCTGAGCTTTAGGCAGCCCCAGATATGTTGTGCTTTTGTGGTTCTGTGCTGTTTTGTTGCTGTTGCACATTCCTTAGTTAGGCTTCCTAACAATCACTGAATTCCTGTTTCCCACACTTAAGAAAATTTGGATTTTTTTGTACTTTCTCTTTGTATTGAACCGTAAAATCAATTTCTTGCA